GTTCACTTCCTATTAGCCTGTTAACTTGACCTCATTAACCTCTGAGTGCCAGTTAACCTAACTTGACCTGACCATACCCTCACTCACTACCTGTACCCCTGACCTAACATAACCTTGACCTTATAACAAACTTAATACCAACAAATGAGCTTTAACTATAACTACCTCATTGTTTGTTTACCGCAATGCATTCTGGGTAAAGACGGAGTCGTTAGGGCCAAACTACCTCAAATATTGTATGACACTGAAACAACACTATGGTGGAATGGTAGTAGACGAAATGAGAATTAACCATGGTATTATCACAGACACAGGCGAAAGCAGCTCCGCCAGACGAAAGCAGCTCCTCTCATACGGCTAGCTTATTAAAATTAAATATATCCAGCGTGAATACGAAGCCAGATAGAGCCGGCGCTAATCTGCCGGCTTGCCCACCCAATTACCGCCTTTAGTCTGCCCCACCAACCGGCTCTGCTTACCTTTTTATCCGACACGTCTGGGGATTTTAATCTTTTTACTTGGCGGAAATTTAGGGATTTTTTTCCACCTAATTTGGGGGATTTTTACTGTTTTTTTTTTTTTGGTTATTTTAAGGGATTTTTTAATAATTAGTTTTTGGGGATTTTTTTTGCTAGTTTTTAAGAGATTGTTATTTTTTAGGATTTTTTATTTTTTACGGATTTTTGGTTAGTTTTAGGGAATTTGGGTTAGTTTTTAAGGATTTTTGGTTGATTTATTTTTGGGGGGGTGGGAAATTTTAAGGATTTTTTTGTTAATTTTAAGATTTTTGGGGGGCTATATATTTAAGGTAATTAGTGTAAACCTTTTCTTGAGGTACAAAGTCTGGCCGTAAAAAAAATTACCCCTGAAGAATTTTTGGAAGAACAACACCAGTAACAACACCAGTAACAGCACCAGTAACATCACTAGCAACACCAGTAACATCACCCCAGTAACAGCACCAGTAACACCAGTAACAAGCACCAGTAACACCAGTAACAGCACCAGTAACAGCACCAGTAACACCAGTAACAGCACCAGGCAACACCAGTAACAGTACCAGTAACAGCAACAGTAACAGCACCAGTAACAGCACCAGTAACAGCACCAGTAACACCAGTAACAGCACCAGTAACACTCCAGTAATGGGCACCAGTAACACCAGTAACAGCACCAGTAACACCAGTAACAGCACCAGTAACAGCACCAGTAACAGCATTCAGTAACATCACCAGTAACATCACCAGTAACAGCACCAGTAATAGCACCAGTAACACCAGTAACAGCACCAGCACACCAGCACAGGCACCAGTAACAGCGCACCAGTAACAGCACCAGTAACATCACCAGTAACAGCACCAGTAACAGCACCAGTAACACCAGTAACAGCACCAGTAACAGCACCAGTAACACTACAGTAACAGCACCAGTAACATGAGCGGGTCTGGATCACTCTCGCTACACGCCACAAAAATTTACATTAGCTCATCATCAGACACTCCGACGCACCTCTGAGAACTACCTGAGTGAGAGGGAGCGAGGGAGGTGAGGAGGCTAGGTGAGAGGGAAGAGAGAGGGGAGAGGTAAGCCAGAGAGGTGAGAGGGAAGAGAGAGGGGAGAGGTAAGCCAGTGAGGTGAGGAGGCAAGAGAGGGGAGGAGAGGGGAGAGGTAAGCCAGTGAGGTGAGGAGGCAGGTGAGAGGGAAGAGAGAGGGGAAAGGTAAGCCAGTGAGGTGAGGAGGCAAGGTGAGAGGGAGAGAGAGGGAGAGGTGGGGCCAGTGAGGTGAGGAGGCTAGGTGAGAGGGAAGAGAGAGGGAAAGGTAAGCCAGAGGTGAGAGGGAGAGAGATGGAAGAGGTAAGCCAGAGAGGTGAGAGGAAGAGAGAGGGGAGAGGTAAGCCAGATAGGTGAGAGGAGAGAGAGGGGAGAAGTAAACCAGTGAGGTGAGAGGGAGAGTGAGAGGGAAGAGGTAAGCCAGAGAGGTGAGAGGGAGAGAGAGGGGAGAGGTAAGCCAGTGAGGTGAGAGGGACAGAGAGGGGAGAGGCATGCCAGATAGGTGAGAGTGAGAGAGAGGGAGAAGTAAGCCAGAGGTGAGAGGGACAGAGAGGGAGAGGTAAGCCAGTGAGGTGAGAGGGAGAGTGAGAGGGAAGAGAGAGGGGAGAGGTAAGCCAGGGAGGTGAGAGGGACAGAGAGGGGAGAGATAAGCCAGGGGAGGTGAGAGGGACAGAGAGGAGAGATAAGCCAGTGAGGTGAGAGGGAGAGAGGGGAGAGGTAAGCCAGTGAGGTGAGAGGGAAGAGAGAGGGAGAGGTAAGCCAGATAGGTGAGAGTGAGAAGGAATGTAGTGAGGGAGAGTGTGTGGTAGAGAGTGAAGGTGGTGATAAGGAAGAGTGTGTGTGTGTGTGTGTGTGTGTGTGTGTGTGTAAGTGTGTGTGTGTGTAAGTGTGTGTGTGTGTGTGTAAGTGTGTGTGTGTGTGTGTGTGTAAGTGTGTGTGTGTGGGTGTGTGTGTGTGTGTGTGTGTGTGTGTGTGTGTGTGTGTGGGTGTGTGTGTGTGTGGGTGTGTGTGTGTGTGTGTGTGTGTGTGTGTGTGTGTGTGTGTGTGTGTGTGTGTGTGTGTGTGTGTGTGTGTGTGTGTGTGTGTGTGTAAGTGTGTGTATGCGTGTGTGTGTGTGTGTGTGTGTGTGTGTGTATACGCCTCAAAATGCCACAGTGGTATCAATAACATTGCCAACAGTGTTACAATGACACCACCACCCATTTGCATCCCAAGCAGTGCCATCATTGCTACTAGTGGTACCCCCATCAGTGCCACTAGTGCCACTTTCAGACGGCGGGTCGTCAAACACCCGTCAGCAGCCACATTCCCTGACAGTCACTGGCACTTACTGACACTTGTGCCAATATGTCCAGGAGGGGGTGAGGATGGCACTTCACTTCACCCCCCCACCCATCAACCTGTGATTATCAAGGGGGGAGGAGGGGGGAGGGGGGGGCTTATGGTGTGGTAGCATGTATTACAGAGAGAGA